TCTATAGTAGAAAGGGATTTTGTTAGTTTCAGTCATATGCCAACCTCAGGGCATGTGAATGTGTCTGTCCCTGTGTGTGTGTGTGTGTATGTGCTAATATGTGTTTGCATGTGTACGAAACCAGCAGTGATGCTGCAAAGTAATTATAACAGCAAAAGCAACATCTGCTCTCGGCCATCAGGGTATGATGACGACCATCAACCTCTCTCTGCATATATTTTAACCATCACTCCGATGAGCTTTGATGAGCTTTTTTGTCTTCATGTGTGTGTGTGTGTGTGAGAGAGAGAGAGAGAGAGAGAAAGAGAAGGCAAAAGCTACAGAGAAGTGATCGCGGTTAGAAGCAACACAAGAAAAGACTAGTTAAATCACCCCCTTTTTGCATTGGGAATAACTTAATTTTCGTATATAAGCAGGGTTTCAAGACCAACAGTAAATCAGTAGTATGAGATGTATTCACTCTATTTCGTTTAAGTTGATGACGGACTGATAGTTGCATTTTTATGTTCACATGCTTCACTGTCGCGGTTCGACTCCCGCTGGGGGAGTGTTGATAGGAACAGATGATGCGCGGTCGAAACTGCAGTCCACTGGTGGCTGGATGAGAACAACTTTTGTGACAGCAAGGCTATGTGAAATTCAGCGAAAACGTCAGCTCTACTCATAGCATTGTGGGAAAATTCTTCTTCTACCAGTCCTATTAATTTAGCAAAAATAGTTTTTACTCAATTTATTGTCAGTATTCCTTGTATTCCCTATTCGGTTTGTTTCGATGGCTTCTCTATCTTTACGTTTAGACGAAAACATGCCATAATGAGCAGAGTGAGAAGTTTGAGACCATTCAATCTCGTGTCCCGTTTCTTCTTTGTGCTCAGCCAACTCCGATTTTTGAAGACAGCACTCTCTACAGACACTTTTGTGCTCCGCCACCCTTTCTTGAATCGAAAGACAAGTCTCTCCAACATAAAAGCGAGCACAAGAACACATTATCTTGTTGCAACCCGATCTGAAGAATGGGTCAATTTTCTCTCTAAAAGTGTCGTAGTTTCCCTGAAAACCGTTTCTATTCCCCACTTACTTACTTGCTCACCTCTCCTTTTAGAAATAATGCACGAAGGTAAAGACAAAATATGAGAAAAGATCTCCTTATCTCTCATTAGTCATTCACCATTCAAAAAGCAATTCTTTATTAATAAAATATTATTTTCAATCAAGCTTAGGGGATAACTATTCTCAAGAAATATTATTTTAACCCGATTCAGTGCATTGTCACTATGGTCTACATCGGCTAGTCTATGCTCCGAATAATCATAGATTTTAGAACTCCAACCTTTATTTTATAAACTACGTACGAAGAAAAGTTGGGTTTCGAGGAATCTCTTGTTTCATAATTGTTGAGCTCACTTCCATTTTGAGTGAAAGTGTTGGCTGAAGAGATTCGAAGGTCGGTTCCCCCAGAATTTTGACGGTGAGTTTTATTGACTCGTTAGCTTCAATTTGGTTGTGACGATGTTACCTCGTTCTGATGATGTCCATCATGTGACGGACGAAAGCTTGGCACGTTTTCACCGGAATCGAAGAGATTGCCTCGGAAACAGCGTCAGCATGAATCTTCCGGTAAAGCCAATCGCCGTCGTCTTCTGGTGGAACCGACCTTTGAATCTCTTCACCCAACACTTCCACTCGAAATGGAAGTAAGCTCAACAGCTCTCTGATGTCTGGTGTGAAGTCATTATACCACTCGATTCCACCAGCCATTTCTGCACAAAATTGTCACACCTCTCCCACCCTTGGGTCAGATACATCTCCCGCCTTTTAGACCCATATCGCCAGGCCTCGCTTTACTCCGATTGGCAGACTCGTTTGCCCTCAATTCCTGTGACTGAGATTGTCGGAGGATAGTTACTTATATCGCAGGTCTCCGATGGTATTTTTGCAATTTATGACAGGCATTTTGTTTATCCAATTTGTAATTAATTTAATCGTGTATTATTAATTAATTGATTTATTAATTAATGGAATAATGAATGAATAGATGTCTAAATGCATGAGTGCCTAAATGAATAAATGAATAAATTAATGAGTCATTGAGCGAATAAATAGATGAGTATTAATAAAGTTACTAATGAAAATGTGCCATTAAACGAAATTATAAGCTTCTTGTTAGACGTTACGACCCTTATACATGAATGTTTATGTTGGTATTTTAACGTAAGCAACGGGAATCTGCCATCGTTTTCTGTAGAGATTTATCTATGAATGTCTTTATCTTATAGTTTCCTATGAAACTAAAGTCTTCTCAACCAATTTTTGTTTTTAAATAGGCTCTAGAGACCACCAGTAGATGATATATATGGCATGAAGCCATCCTATTACGTTTAAGATAATAAGGGGACTGGTAGTTGAATTTTGCTACAACCATATGAATAACCTTGACGTATCCATTGAATTGCACATGGCCTTGCTTTCCTAAAATCTATTCTCATCTCGGCTGGATTGGAATGCAGTTATGACCTCGCTTGAATTGGTCTCATCAACACCCCTAGCGGGAATCGAACCGTGACAGTGTAGCATATCATCCCAGAATGTTAACCACTACGCCACATTGCCATAAGTGTCGTTGGGGCTCAGGGCAGGTGTGAATCTCAAGGAGGGTCAGGCATTTTTCTATATCATATTATGCTGTTGGATTGTCGGTGGAGCAGACTTTTATTTCCTACAGAAATCGACAATGTTACTTAT